CTTAATATCTCTTGGTTTCCCTGGTTTTGGTATTAACATGATGTTTGAGTCCTTCCATTCTACTGGAAGGTTTCCTCCATCTACCCATACCTTTTCATTAAAGAAATCTGTGATTCGTCGAAGGGCCGCATCACTCAAATTTCTAAGCATAGAGTTTGTTATTTTGTCTCGTCCTGGGGCGGTATTCTTTTTGAAAGACTGGGCCACCGCATAAACCTCTCCAAATGTTATGGGAGCGTCTAACTCTGGTTGTTCTTTTCCTGCATATTTGCCATGTACCACTTCACATGCGTCTTGTCCGACATATAATTTCTTGACTTCGTAGATAAGTGCGTCATCGTTACCTTTAAATTCATTCTCCAGAATTCTTAAAGCCCTGTTCGTCATTGTTTTTGTTGCCCCTGGATCGATCATACTCTTCAGGATGTGCCAGGTCTTTTTGGTTCCTAACGTCTCTCTAAGTGAGTTACTAAATTGCCTCCAGTTACTGTTATTTAGTTGACGTGCGTAGTCATTGGCTTCCTGTGACAACTGAGCTATCCTTATCTTCAATTTGCGATTAAGCTTTTGCTTCCGCCATCGCTTTGTGAGGCTTCTCCGCGCGTCCCACAAATGTAGCAGGTGCTTGTCGACTGCTGGGATTTCCACGCTTGTTTCTATTTCCTTTGTCCCTTTCCTGTGTGCCTCCTTTATCTGTGTCACCCAGTTACCTAGATTTATTATTTCCCCTTGGTCTCCTACGTTCTCCCTAAATTTGTTCCAATCAGATATTGTCGCTTTCCCCATTCTTCTTGTCGTGGCGGCATTAATAGTTATTCCGAGAATGTAGTGGTCGCTTCCCAAGTTTTTTCCGAGGTGCGCCCATGAGACGTTTCATTCAGAATTTGTAAACGTTAAGTCCGGTGACGTGTCTTTTGTTAAGCTATTCTCGACCCGTGTCGGTAGGTCTGGTTGTGTAAGTTGGCAGAGATCATACCGTTCAACAAGGTCTACAAGGAGTTTGCCCTTAGGGCTGTCCTGCTTATATCCCCAATTTCTGTGTGGCGCATTAAAATCCCCCATGATAACTAACCTGTCTTTCTCTTTCAATAAACCCATCGCATGTGCTATAATGTTCTCAAAGTCGGCTCGTCTCTCCTTAGGTGGGCTATATATATTGACCCCCACTGTTTTTGGCCCTCCACGTTTTTTGGGCCACACTGTTATTATCTGGTGTTGCACTGCCTCATTGCTCACGTAGCTGGCACTCAATGCTATATCTTTTTTGGTAAATGTCGCCACTTGTGGGTACTTTGGGTTAACATGTCTTATGTACCCTCTCAGATTTATCTGAAATTTGCCTACTTCCTGAAGGCACATTATATCAGGAGGGATTGGAGATGCTCCAATAAATTGTTTGAAATTTTCAAGTTTTGTTCTCAATGAGCAGCAGTTCCACTGCCATATTTCCGTTTGCTCGGTCTTTTTATTGTTACGGTGTCTAGCCATGATTGGTATTCTCGGAATCTGTTATTCCACTTTCTTTAGGTTGTCTGGTGGGGGCACCCGGGCTCTGACAAGATCTCTTGCGAGGATTCTGCGCCTGACTCAAGTCGCTTATGGTGCGTTCCATCTGGCCTAGTTTGGCAAAAACAAGTTGAATTTGTTGAACTAGGAACGCTATCGGCGGTGTTTGTGGTGGTTGCGTTTCCACGGGCTGCGCAACGGGCTGCGAGACAACAGGTGTGCTCGCCGGGCTTTGTGTGTTGCTCGACTGGTTTAGTAGTGACTCCAGGCGCGTCATTCGAGACTTAACCTCCTGTAGTTCTGTTCTAAGTTGTCTGTTTTCAGCTACTACCCGCTTGTATTCTGGGTGTTCTGTGATCGTTGGTGTAACGGGTTTATGTTTGGTAGTGGGAGATACGGCTTGCGCATAGCTGACCGCCTCCGCCTGTGGGTTGCTATGTGCAGGACACGCCCCCGGTGGCTTGCTTCTCGGAAGGGCTTGCGCGTTCGGATTGTCCTGGGAGATGGCTCTCGGCGTCGAAGTCGACTTTGGATGCCGCTGTCCTGGTTGTCCTGTCTCCACGGCACGGTTTTTCGACGGCGTGCGGGTTCTGGAACGGCTCTTTCGGGTCTCGCCTCGTCCGTACTCCCATTCTGATTCCTCTTCCTCCGACTGAAACCAGCGAGGGGCTGGCTTGTGTGGTTTTTTGGGTGGTTTCGCTGCTTGCTTGCGAATAGGCTTGAGGCGTTTCAGACAACTGCGGTCTCCAGTGATATGGTTTCCCGTGCAAATTGCGCATGTCGGAGTGCAATTATGGTTTACTTCGGGGTTGCGCATTCAACAGGTATGGCACACGGGTGAGTCTGGCTGCGGACACACGTCGGTGCGGTGGCCAACCTCCCCACACGCTCGGCAGAATTGGACGGTGTTACGAAAAGGAATACACTCCTTCTCACCTCCTCTGTAGTAAACATATCTTGGTAGAATGTCCCCGAAGAAAGTCAAGACGGCACTCTGAGAGTCTCCCAACATCCGAGCGTCGACCAGCGTCACGCTCTGGGTGCGAAAACGGATGCTCGCTTTGATGGTCTCAGACGGGGTGTGCGGCTCTATACCGTGAATAGCACCTTTTTTGGTTCCTTCACCTGCCGTAACGTAGACGTTGACCGGGTGTGGTCTTCCGTTGATATTCAAAGACGTGACGCCTCTCATCGCCATCGCGACGGTCGTGTTTGGAGTCGACGCTAGCGCAATGTTGGACCCCGGTCGGATGCGGAGAATAAACTGATCCCACCTGACTTTTCCTTGGCAAGCCTCCACTATAGCGTCGGAGATCGCTTGGGTGGTCACATTCTTCAGAGGCAGTCCCTGCATGGTGAGGTCGGAGGACTACTTTCAGATCGTCCTTGGGTAGTGCTGGGGGCCTCCGTCTTGTAGGTCGACCCCGGCGCTTTGGCTGGTTGTCCGTCGTAGGTCTGCTGCCTGCGGAGAAGTCCCCTCCTTGTTGAAATTTCCGCTCCTTCGTCTGTTTCTTCTTCGCTCTGAGCGATTGGGATATTTGCCATCCCTCCTCTGTGCGGTCGGTCTCCGTTGGGGCGGAAAAATCTGCGTCGGCGTGCGTGGACGCCGCGTTGCAGTTCCCAGGCAGTGCTGCTTCATCCCGGTTTTGCGCGGCAAAGTCCATGACTTCTTCACCCAAACCTGGTTCGGATTGTCGTACGGACGCTGTTTGCGACTCCCCAGTCGAGTCCATAGCCGTCAGCAACCGCGGCAACGCCGTGGTTGTCGTCTTCGGGCGAGCGTCTCCCGGCGTCGTCGCCGCCGCTCCTCTACTGGACGCTAGAGGTAGCGAAGGCTCCACATGGGTGAACGAAGAAGTGGCCGTAAAAACAAGAAAAATGGTCCGATTTCAGTGAAACTGGAGTCCACCGATACCGGAGCATCTCCCCTACATGCCTGTGGCAATTTCTGGACGATTCAAGGGTTGAACCATACAGAAAAGACAAGAACATACGGAGCTCGATGTGCACGCGTCTGCACTCATCGGCATCCCAGCAGCGTCGCCCAAAGCATGCCGAAATCGGTACTGTTGGTCCTAGCGACCGACATGGCCCGGCGCGCGCCAATAGGCAATCACGGAGGCCTACATTGATGCCTTTTTATTGGGGAGGGGGAGTATTGGGATATGTCTTGGGGAGGAAGGAGAACACTTGCAGGTTTGTGACACCAGATGTGGCTTGCAGACGCGTAAATCTGGAAAAATCACGAAGGGGGACACACATCTTGCAATAGCAGCCATTTTGTTTTAATATTTTGCAGGTTTTATTTTTGTTTATATAAGAATTAAAATCATGCCTAGAAATCAAATTGACAAACGAACGTAGGTTCCCAGCACTCGTAATTGCATTCTTCTATTGAGTCTTTTCCGGAACCAGTAGAGATTGGCAGTTGCGATTTCGATTGCCTCACACACCTGATGGGTATGGAGCACGTGTACACGCTACCAAAAAAAAAAATTAAAAAGTTGAATGTTTTATACGAACTTATCAAGCATTCTTATTTGTGACGTTTTTAAGAGAAATTTTGATGGGGCCCACTTTCAATGGGTGTCCCCCTCCCCTGGCCGAGCACAGAGGGGTCGCGGAGTCAACGTTCTCTGCAGGCGTGGCCAATGGGCGTCCAGGTCATGACCAGTATGGACTGTGCATCTGAGAAAACATTGCATTTGCTCTCATCTTCACATATAGCCATCGACAGGTTTTTGTCTTGGGGGTAAGGAAACCCTTCTTTCAACTTGTATCATGGCTGAGGGAGGGGGTCGTGTTGCCGTCGCTAGAGTGGGTAGCAAGTGCTGGTGCAGCTTGAAGGGGTCATGTGCCCCTTTTGCACCACGCTTATGTCTACACTTCATTCATTGAACACAACGGTGAGGACTAGTTGACTTAATTCGCTGATTTGTTTTCTTCCGCATCTTATACCGCTACATAAAACATTCTCATATTGTGAAAAGTAGGTATTTCGATTCGTTTGAAGGAAAGTAACATTCAAGGCATGACAGATACTCAAAAGAGCGGTTTCCTGCAATCGCAATAAGAAAACTCGTAGCAGAGGTGCTTCTTTTTTCGTGCAGCATACAATGAAAAAGTGAGATCCAATTCGAAAAAAGCGAACTGAGTGCCGTGCGTCGGTGCTTGCTCAATGTTCAATGAAAGAAGGTTTCATGAAGTATGACGTAGCCAACAACAGAAACAAACTTCCGCATCTTAAATTTAAAAAAAGAACAAGCAAAGTGCTGCACATTCGTGGTAGAACATGGACATAAATTGAAATACGCGTTCCCTGAATTTCAACTAATTCAGCAACAACTGACAGAAGAACCTTTTGAATTTTTAGTTTCGTTTTCCGCGCCGCCGCCACCGATGAATTAACCGGCGTGCGCCGACAACGCCGCCGCCGCCGACTCTGAACGACCCCCACGCCGCCGCCGGTCGAAATCACCTCCCTCGGCGCACACCTCTACTTGGCGTACACCACGCAGCAGTACAAGATGGCGTCTTCAACAAGTAAGAATTTCTCTTGCGATGTTTCTGCATTGTTTTCATAAGTATATTGCTGATGTTTCTGCACGTGAAAAGTATTTGTCATTTGACTATAAAAAATAAACACTAGCTTTCTTGTTTTTACGAGAATGGAGTGTTAAATGCCAAGCGTCGTATCGGTCGCCTGTGGCCCGCCAAGGAGTTCGCGCGGTTGGCTTGCTCATTGGCGCACAGACTGTATGCGATCGCCGTTAAATCAGTTCCGTTTAGACGCCGCGTTCCTTCTAAGTGCTGCTTGATAGAACGTTGTGTTGGCCGAGCGGGTCTTGCTCTCACAGTAATGATAAGTGAAACGCCGGTTGAAGTACCAAGCAACGAACCATGCTCTTCGTTGCCCGATCTTTCAGACCGTCACCCGAAAGAAACTGCTACAGATACATGGTCTACGCGCGAACGGCTGTGTTTGGCGTCATCGGTGTTAAGAAGCGGAGATCAGAATTGGTAAGTGACCTGTCTAGCATTTTGCACGTCGTTTTTGGTGCTGTGCTCTGCGCGTGCAATAACGATCACCGTGCGTTAAACTTCAGGGTGTCCGTAAGCAGAGCGATACGGCCTTTGGGCGAGGCTAATCGACCGAACGATTGGTTTTCCCAAAAGGTAGGCCGAGTAACGACACTGCTGTTTAATGTTTGCTATCCGAATCACCCGGTTGTATTACTAGCGCGTCATTCCTTTTCAGAATTGTGCTCTGCAGTATGCCGATCTTTTGAAGACAGTGGAGTCTCCCAAGTAAGTCATGAAACGCGCGCACCCTACCCCCTTCGCCTTTTTTTGTGCCCCCTCCTCCTCCACGTTCTGAACACTGCACGTGGGTTTGAACCGTGGTTCAACGCGCCCAATTCTTGCAGGAGAAAGCGAGGAGATCGCGGTGACTTGGACACCCCCGGTGACTTAATCGTCCGAAATCTTACTTTGGAGCGCATTGAAGAACTGAAGAAACTGATCGAAGAAGAAAAGCAACAACATAAGTACGCACTTTGTTCTTTTAGTGAGGTTCAGAGCTGTCACATAATGACACTCATTTGGAATGCGCGTTCGTGGAGAAACATGCAGCGCACTACCCGTGATTTCTTCGCTGCTGTAGGCACCAGTAAAAAGATATTATCTATTTATTTAATTGGTCTATGTTAATTAAGCAATGTCCTGCGAGAGTGAGTATATGTAGAGTATATATATTGATAGCTGTTTCTTGATTGCTGCGTTCATTGCTCAAAACACTGGTTCGTGCTTGTCTTGTGTGCCGGTTGTAATTTCGTTCACTGAATCTGTAAATTAAGCGTGTGTCTTAATCTTCATCTTGCGGAACAGAGCTCGAAAAAAAAAAGGGGGGGGGGGTGACGGCGGTAAAAGCACCCAGTTGTCAGCGTGTGCTGCTGCGTTTCTGTTTTTTGCGCTCTCATCTAAGACGCGGAAGAGTGACGGCTCGGGCTAGTTGTTGGGTCATGACAAGATCTATAGCGTAATCTGAGGACGCGGGGCTGAGTAACACACACGCATTAGTTATCGTCGTTTGTTACTTTTGTTTCTCGTAGATTTTGGTCGCGGCTGGGGCTGCCTTGTGTCACAGTGCGATCATCGGTTGTCATTTCAATGCGACTGAATTTATATTGCGTATGCGTGCATGTGCTGCTGTCTTTGTCGTTTTATTTTCTTGTCGCCCACATATTCCCGATATTGAATATGGTTTTAACGGGGGAGCTGAGGGGAGCAGTCGGAGAGCGCCCCCCCTCTCCCATTATCATTTCGCTTCACGGCTGTATAAAGAGGCACACAGCCCCGCTGTGGTGGTCTAGTGGCTAAGGTACTCGGCTGCTGACCCGCAGGTCTGCTGCATTTCGGATGGAGGCGGAAATAGTGTAGGCCCGTGTGCTCAGATTTGCGGGCACGTTAAAGAACCCCAGGTAATCGAAATTTCCGGAGCCCTCCACTACGGCGTCTCTCATAATCATATAATGGTTTTGGAACGTTAAACTCCACATATCAATCAATAAAGAAACACTCATGCAAATGCACAAACATGCATGCAGTATGAATGCCTACCCCTCCCCTCGTTCCCGAAATAAATTTCTGGCTACATTACTGGAAATTGTGTAGGAAACCATATTCCTTAATTAAAGTGTAGTTTAGAGCATGAGGGTGTAGATACAGTCGTCATTTTAATGAACGGGAACACGTGAGCGTCTGGCTTATATAACCTGGAACCTCCCATTTGGTGTGTGCTCTGGTAACCTGTAAAAACAAAGGGAGAGAGAGCCATTCCTTGGTCAGTCCACATTGCAGTTTTTTTTAAAGCACTTTTTGTTGCAATATGGACAACCTTATCAAAATCCTTTTACTTTCATATTTTGTTGCTGTGTCATGCCACATATGTGGCGTGAGGCTATTTGCCATGCTTACACGTTTTTTTCTTTAATAAAAATGGATGCCGTGCTTGCCTTTAATTTGGACTGTCACATATTGGTTTCCCAAGCTTACTGCTGCCTTCATTACACTGCCACTATTGCTATTATTACTAAATTCTTGCTTGCTTTCAAGCTCTCAAGTTGTTGTTTGAAGGCATCATAAGGCGAAACTATTAAATCTGCTGCTGAAGGTTTTATTTTATGTGCCATTTAATAAAACTGACATTCTGTCTGCCTTACAATTCCCCAAGTATAGTAAAAGCACGTTAATTTCAACTTGTAGGGGAATGTAAAATTGTTCAAATTATCGTGGAATATTTTACAGTGTAACAGGTTAGATACAGACAGAGAAGGGACATCAGCGCCTTGTCCCTTCTTTGTCCGTATCTAACCCGTTGCGCGATAAACTATTCCACGATGATCGTCCACCAACTCGCGATTCTGCTGTTCAAATTAAGCGCAGTTTGAATGAATGGTTATGCGCTAGAATGAACAGGCATCATGCCCTAGCTGCATGGGCAGATCGCAATGAAGCCACCTCTGCATTAGTTATCGCAAACTTGGTGCTACTACATGTACGTGGCAGGTGACTGTAAATTTAGTGCATGTAGCTCTAGCAGCGAACAGAATTAATTTACCAGTCTGTTTAATCAGAAACAAGTGTCGACATGCATTCATGTGAGTGGTGAGCCCTGATGGCGAAATATATGGTGCTATTTGTGCTTCAAAACATGTATATTTTCAATACAATGTTGAATGCAATCAAAATTTAAAGTAATCAGTAATTTGCATATGTTTGTGTTACTTCTGTCCTGATTCCATGACCATTGTTTGTAGCTTGCCCGAGAGCTCTAGCGCAGCATCCAAATTCTCATCTGCTGAGAGATGCTGCTCTTTCATCGTTTTGCGTCTTTAGAAAATTTGGTTTGGTTTGGCTTTGCTACAGATTATCATTATGGGCTGACAACTGCGAGGAGGGATGAAAACCAGGTACTATCAGGCTGAATTGTTGTGGATATGGAAATGTTCGAATATTGGAAGCGTTGCCCCATAGAAATACATAGGCTTGTGCCATAACCTGGGTGTCGGTTCGAATTAAGTTTTTACTGTACTGATATGCCCAAGGGTATGTTTAGCAGCTAGAAGTTTCTGTACCTCTTAGCTTACTATGTGGCAGATTACGGCTTCATGTAAATGCTCATTGATTAGCCATTTGCACTTTATAATATATGCCTCTAATGTATGAGACCTTAGAGGCATCGTTACCCTCTTCTATTCGACAGTCCTTTCCCTATGGGTTATCAGACAGTAATGGAGATTTTCTTTCTTTTTTTTTCAATTTCTTCTTGGCTTTGGGTTGTTTAGAACTTTGTCTTGATTGGTGATTTTCATGCAATGCTTTTAAACGAGTACGGACACAAAAAGTTGACGTCTTGTTTTTTCTGTCACGAGAAGTAGCTAACAGCCTATTTATCATAATAGAAACCCTTGTTTGGTTGAGTTCCCAGCAGCTGATGATGGAAGTAGTGGTGTCGAGTTTTTTATTATTATTGCTCTTTTTTTTGTAAACACAACTTGCCACATGAGCACTCACAAGAGTGATTAACTCGCCACGCTAGGCATTGCACGCAGGTGAGCTCTACATTAACTTTGGGGGAGCACTTTCAAGCAGCATGCCAGCCGACACAAACTTGTGACGTAGTTAGTTGTTGTTTACACTTGACCTAATGGATGTTGATGTCGTCAAGTGCTCTCCTTCGTGCGCAGTTGTGGTAAACACACACTTAAGTGCTACAATGAATATGTTTAGATTGATAAATTTTACTCCGAGAACTCTGGTATCATTCATTTCACCATGATGGGTTTGTTAATAGAAGAGAAAATCAAGGTGAAAATTTCATTTTCAAAGGGGTATTTGACAAAATCATAATTTGCCACCCAGACTTTCTGCCAGGTTAAAGATTAGGTGCTGGAATTGGCAGACACAACCTTCATTTTAGGCAGAAACCAAAGGAAAATAATGAATTTAGTTTGTTTTTTTACAAGCTGTAGTTACTATACACTACTTCAAACAGTGCACTAAAACCGTACAATTAGCATCCCCTATGCGTTCCTTGCCTTCATAATGTGCTGGTTTTCCTTATGGTTGTGTAAAAAAAAAAGGAAACGAGCCCTCAAAAAAATTCTGTACTTTTCATGGGGTACTGACATGAAATTTTTCACTTATCCGCATACATGCCATGTCTCCCTGATTTTTCGGGAGGCTTGCAGATTTCGACCAGTTTGTAAGGTTGTCAGGAAAATCTCCTGGAAATAGAAATTTCTGTGCGTGATCTGGCCGCATTGACGAAAATGCAGCCCAATCCGATTCAGGCTTTTCGTGAACCCATCCCATTTTACTGTAAATGAATTTAGGAGACATTTATCTAATCGTACAGTAGAATCTCAATGATGCGAAGCTGGCAGATAACGTGAAATTCCCCAGCCAATTACTACTGGGGTAATTGGGCCAAAATTTGGATATTCCGAACACTTTTTTCCCCCGGGTCAGGCTGTATGAACTTTAGTACCGAAACCGTCGAATGAAAACTGAGAGCAGCGTGCTGGCAGCTTCGTAAATACTTGCTCGGCCAGCACACACACTGTCAGAACTGTGAATACTGTTTGCCACAACCGCCGCAGAGGAAACCGCTATAGCTCTTGTCACGATCATGCACGGCGACGGCGTAACTGACAGAACTCCCAAAGTGCACAGGCGTCTGACGCTTGACCAATCAAAGTAACGGTGCTTTTCACAAATTCTGCGGACAAAACCGCAGAAGATGCAATCATAGGTAGCAAAAAATGACTTGGTTTTGAAAGCACGTGCGCAGCCAGTGCGCATGGATTGAAAACAGAGCTATCGTCTTCCGCAGCCGCTCTGCGAAACTGCGATCGCGGTGGTGCGACCATTCGTAGCGACTTCTAGCTGAGCGCATGCGGCTAATGCAGCGGTATAAAAAAGACAATAATTATGTAAAAAAAGCCAAAAATGCTTTGGTGTTCTTGTCCAAATAATCTAGTGACGTTGTTCCTGTCGATCTGTGTGCTAAGGCTATACTTGGGCATTTCATTGTCAGTTGGCCTCAAGTAAAGCTTCAACCTGCGCTTTTCCAGCAGGCCGCTGCGCCATCCCGTCCATGCACGAGTTTCCCAGGAAGACATACGCGAGTTCTTTTGACAGAAATAGATTTTGCTAATTGTTTTGATGATGCAAAATTGCAGGAAATACAAATATTTGGTACCCCTTTTGAGACTCGCACCTTCTACTGTAATTAGGGAAACCCTACCTTTGTGTGTCTGCAACGCTGGTGTTTACGGATTCCCACCTCCCCACCCTTCTTGTTTTGCGATGTTTTTTTTTTTTCTTTTGGTGCAAATGGGGGGCTCAATAGGCATGGACCCCCCTTTCCCAATCTCCCGTATTCGCAATCCTTGAACGGGTATATTGTACTCTTTTTTTTTTTTTGCAACAAATGATAGGCCAAGTTCTCATGAGCGTAAGAAATGTGCCGGTAAGCCTGAGT